TAAGTATATCTGCTGCAGAACGCAGCTTCTTGACACTGAAAACAGGGAATACATATTTGAAGAACTGGACAGCGGAGGAACAGCTTAATGGTCTGGCACTATAGTGCCCATTCAGTGGATACAAGTCAGTGTGGATGAAGCTATTGCTGTGTTTATGGAGAAACTGTGATGGATGAAAATTGCAGTGTGAACCACTTTCTTTCGGCCAGGCTGCATGATGGTTTTTCTTTTGCATTGACCTTTACTAGTATATGATACAGTAAAAGCTCGTTAATTCTGATTTCACGGGACAGGAAAAACTGTCCGAATTAACGAATGAACAGGGAAAACAACATTTAAAATCAAGCTGCAGAAGCATACCTTTATTTGTTGAAGTATTTTGTAATTGTCGTCTGCGTTTTCGCGCAGATTCCGGCTGACATCACAATTTTTCTTAACTGTTCCAAATGGCCAACAGCACGCAAGCTGTCGGGAGTGTTCAGGCAAGCGTCCTCTAATATTAACAGCGCCTCCGAGACTTCCCGTGAGGTGCGATGAGGTCGCGGCTGTATCTCGTCGCATGATTCTTCGTTGGAATCGTGGTCTTCATGGGCGCCCGTGACATCATTAATCTCTTGATCGGTCAGGGGACCACACGTGGCGACACCATGATCAATCCCGATGTAGTCCTGAAAGGTCACATCTGTGAGAAGAACAGCATCGAAAGTCGGGCAGTCATCGTCGGTGGACTCGGCTGACACCTCCTCGATGCCATCGTCAGCTACTGCTGCATGCTCGGGCCTCACAAAACCGCTGTGCCGAAAACAGTTGGCGATGACTTGCGGCGGAGTGTTTTTCCACACGTGGGCGATGATGTGCACTGCGCCGAGTAAGTCCACCTGATACAACTTTCCAGCTTCTGAGCATATGATCATTCGCTCTAGCAGGTGCTTGCAATACTTCGACTACACGTAGTGAATGATACCCTGGTCCATCGGCTGAAGAGCAGAGGTAGAGTTGGGTGGCAAAAAAAACTACTTTGATGCTCTTCAGTTCGACTGTACAGTTATGGGCTCTGCAGTTGTCAACAACCATAATTATCTTGTGGTCCTTCGATGTGAAGTGCCGGTCCAACTGCTGCAGCCAGCCGCGAAAAATGTCCGATGTCATCCATGCCTTCCTGTTTGCTGTGTACTCGACAGGAAGGATTTTGACGTTCTTAAAACAACATGGCTTATTAAGCGCCTTCCGACGACAAGTAGTGGCAAGCGCTCCATGCCAGTCATATTGGCGGCAAGAAGCACAGTTATCCTTTGCTTGCACTTCTTGACACCAATGCATGCGTCCCCTTTGAAAGTCACCGTCTTGTCGGGCAGAGCTCTTAAAAATACAGCAATTTCATCTGCATTGAACACGTCACGTGGTTCATATGCGGCGATGTGCTCCAGCAGCTTCACATTTCTCCACTCGGTGGTCACGCTTTCATCAACACTGGCCTTTTCGCCGCACAGACTCCTGAAGACAAGTTCGTGTCTCTCTCGAAACCTCGCAAACCACCCTTCTGACGCTTTGAACGATTCAATGTTCATCATTGCAGCGTACTTCTCACCTTGCGCCATGATGAGAGGCCCGCTCAAAGGCAGATGCGTGTTGCGACAGTTAGTAATCCACCGGAGCAAAGCTTCTTCGAGCTGGGGATGAGCTGCGGTTCACACCCGCTTTCTAGAGGCATGAAACTTCTCGCTTTCGAAGGCTTGTCGAATCTGTTGTTCATTTTTCACGTACGTTCCCAACGTGCTCCGCTTCACGTTGTACTTGGTCATAACCTGCTGTCGCGATTCGCCATTCTTCAGTGCTTCCAAAATTTCCACTTTAGTCGCCAAGTTCTTCGCGTCGTAGTTCTGCCGCTTTTTCGGCATTGCCATCACTGTAGCGCACGATGGTGGTGGCATGCAAACACGGTCACAATGGAGGAAAAAGAGAACTCCGCAAGAAGAGATGGTTTCAGCACGACAACACAAGGGAAAATCGCGTCGGAGGCGCTGAGTGTAGAAGAAAGAAGACCCCGACGTTCGGTGACGCTGCGATCGCCCCCACTAGTTGATGATGATGGAGATGCCACTCAGGTTTCAGTTTCACTCCAGTGGTGCCAGCGCTGCTTTATCACACTTTTGTGTAGCAGCAGCCGTCAGCATTTGTCCGAATTAAGCGGTGCGGAGCCGAATTCCGACGAAATAACGAAGGTTTGGTTCCATAGATTAACATGCACTTTGGCCGGGACCAATAGAGTCGTCCGAATTATCTGAATTTCTGAATTAATGGGTGTCGAATTAACGAGCTTTTACTGTAAAACCATCGGCAATGCCATTCTTTGAAATTGCTTGCTAAAATGAATGTTAACGTTCTGCCTCTTTTGTGTCAGGGAAACATCCATGTTTTAGTTTTTGTTGTCCAATAAAGTAGTTTTCCTGAATGTTTGTGTTCTTTGTGCAATAGTTCCTGCCATAAAATGGCTCTCGTTCTTCACGCAGGCCTGTTGTTAAGACAGAGTGTGAGAAGTAGGGCAGAAAAAGTATTGAACACTTTTTTTTTTTTTTTTTTGCTGTGCATGCGTATAAATGGATGACCGATTTTCTTGCATTCCACCCCCCTCCCTTTTTTTCTTTTTGTCACTCGTTTTCCCATTACTGACTCTCTATGGCCCTTCTTGGTCGAGATTATTTGATAAGAAAGCATCCTTTCGGGTGCAGGCACACTAGCTTCACTGCAGTGTCAACATTTGCTTTCTATTGCTGACTAACTCTCCTCTTGTGCTGGATTCCACTATCATTTTCTTGTAATAATGAAGCACCTTTTATATTCCTTGGCAACTTTTTATTTGCCATAAAGAGTTTTTCAAACAATCGGTCCAAAAAAAAAAAGGCTGGTTTTGGGGCGTTGAACTCCACATATCATTCTGAAAAAAAAAAAAAAAAAGAAGCTACGTGCTTGCCGTGTTGATCCAACAAACTACTTGCTGCACTCGTGCTGCTGTCTGAAGTGGTGTGGGGAATGCTCTCATGGCAAATGCACACGCAGCACATCAAGTGGCCAGGCAGTGATGGTATGATTGAATTAGGCAACATGCTAAATGTAACTAGCCAGGTATGATCAGTTCTACATGGTGGTAGTGCATTTCAATGAAACAGTGTCACTTTTCACTCAGTGGGGCACATATGGGATCATGTGCATCATGGAAAGCCATAATGTATTTCCATCTACTCTTGCTATGCCAGTTGCTGTGTATTCCCATACTTGCCAAGTCTCCCTGATTTGAACCATTTCTTATGTTTGTGGGGTTGGCAGGAGAACCTCCGAGAAATCGAAATTTCTAAGCATGATCTGTCCACATTGACAAAAGTTGAAATTTCGAACAATATGAATATTTTTGCTCCCCAAAGAAATTTGTATTTCCAAGATTCTACTGTAGTTAGAAAAAAACTCTAGTTTGTTTGGCCACTTTAAACCAATATAAGACCACAGTGCCCCTGTTTACTCTTACAGTGCTTGGGCAATTTGGGACACCCCCCTTCTCAGAGCTGTGTTTTTTTTGTGTGTGTGAAAAAAGGGGGAAGGGGACGAGGTAAATTGGCACGCATCCCCTCCACTCCCCTCGTTTCAGAAATATCACAGATTCAGATTACTTGAATTTTGCAGGTATGCGTTTCCAGACCCTGTAATAGCTGTGCAACGCTCCTAGGCATCGCCGTCACATGTTTTTAGACAGTCATATGATCATAAGTGCTTTTCATTGGGCTAGTTAGTCACACATTGTAAAATGTAAAAACTGCGCAAAATAGAATGAAAAAAAACACACAGGACCAGTGCTGTCCTGTGTGCAGCACTGGTATGTAGCAGGGCTTGTGTTTTTGTGATCCTTTTTTTTTGCACTGACCGAGGTGAGTGGTACGGTGTGTTACTTTGTTCGTCTCATCTATATTGTGCTGTTTTTACCTGGAATAAGTGTTTTGGCAAAAAAGAAAAAAAAAGCTTTGTAGTGGGTACGCTAAGAAATAATGTTTTCCTGGTGTTTAATGTGTGGTACTGTTAAGTGTGTACTTTTAAGTGTATAAATACGAAGGGTGCGTATTTACGAGAATAAGGTAACACTACTTTAATCGAATGTACTGATTACTTGAGCAAATGCAAAGAGCATAAACTGGTTTTGTCAAATAAATTGGCATGGTGTTTTGGTTTGGAACAGCAACTGGTGTGTGTAAAAATACTGCTCAGCCTCTGTTCCCACTGCTCGTGCATTTGATTTTTTCCCTGCCTTGCGAGCTAAGCTTGACAAATAACCAGTGATAGATGTACGACACGTGCATATTTATAACAGATGGACATCGCACACGTGCGAGAGAGCATGATCGATGAGCATGGTTTTTCTGGTTCTTGTTGCTTATCCACTTTACAGTATGGTTTTCATGCAGCTAATTTGACAGATTTCACTCTTCCATCTTTTAATGGCCTTGTGTAATCATGTCCTTTATTTGAGGTGCTTCCCCGGTGTCCAGTTCATAGACCACCCCAATTTCTTCAGCCCTGTATTTCTCAGTTCTAAAAGAATAACCTTGTACCGTACCTACTCTGTTGTAGTGCGACCACGATTGTAATGCAAGGTTTGGCTCTCATTACATCCAAGAAGAACATATAGGATTTTGATATTCAATTGTAATGCGAGGTTTGACTTTTGGTAACAAAAATGTGGAGAACTTGCATTACATTTGAGTGAACATGGTACTTTTATTATTGTACTAGTGTAGATATGCAAGGTACTCCTAATCAGAAGAGAGTACTTGGAAACGTTGAAAAGGTTTACTTGTGGTGCAGTCATAGATTATAGATATTGGAATCATGTGCTGCTGTTCATATGCTTGCAGATAACTAATTCTTATGCTCTTGAAAGAGTGTGCCACTAAGAACAATATAAAAATTCCCATTCATCGCTTGGTCGTGTATGAGAGTGCTCCTTTTATTTATAGCCAGTCGATACCATTGGGACCCTGCTGAAAGATGTCAACCAGCACAGAAAGGAGCACAGCCTCCCAGAGGTTCTCTTTCACACTGATGCTGCACAAGCTCTTGGCAAAATGGCTGTGAACGTGGATGATCTGAAGGTGGATTATTTGTCCATTGCAGGGCATAAGGTAGGTGCAATCCACCTGTTTGTCGTTGTTTCATCATTCCTTGCTTAGACATATTGTTTTCAGGAGGTTGGGAAAGTTCATAAAAATTTGAACTGCTTTGTGTAGATAGGAGGAATGACCGCAAAATTTCGTATTTTATGATTTTCTTTGCGAAAGCTAAATGGGACTAAATTTTGTTGCTCGAGTATGTTTGTGTATCATTTGTGTAATACCTCCTGTTTTAGTTGGTGCATTTGTGTGGGTGCCTTTCAAGTACACAGAAAACCATTGGCATAACATTCAGATGTTGCAGTAGCCCGCAAACACATAAGGAGTAACTCAGAATAGATACAAAAGCGGCGGTGAATGGCTACATGATATTGCAACAGGTATGAGCTGATGAAGAAGAGGGGTGAGACATCGACTACGTACATAGAGGCGTTTCTGAAGTCGGGTAAGATGAATTCTGGAATGTCTGAAGAGGACAAAGTCGGGCATCTTCTGAAAGGTATTGCCGAGGACGTATCGCTCAGGACTACTTGATTTCATACACTAAAGGTTTCATACACTAAATGTTTGAAATACGCACTAAGAACAGAATTTTGCTGTCACATTCGACTCTTAAAGGTGAAGCTTAAATATATCCCATTTTTTAAAAACAAGTGTAGCATGACAACTATTCTGTCTACGTTGTAGGTTCGGTAATTGTGAGTAGAAGATAAAAGGCACATACGCAGGCTGTGCAAATGTGCGACACCATTTCGTTTGCAATTGATAGGACTGTCAGCATGCTTATACACTGACTGGAAGGAAAGGTGTTACTAAATGCCACCATGTCTTCCATCAAGATAAAAATTTCTACTAATGGGTCTCGCATACACAGACAAGCTGTAGGGTTTTCTCGCTGTGAGGCTATTTTTGTGTGCTGTGTATTCGCTGTATGTTGAGCTAGCACTTTGTTGAGAGTCACTGCTGAGGTTGTCACTATTGATGTTTGGGCTAAGACTTAGTGTATAAGCAGCCAGTGGTTGCAAATTGCGGTGAAGTCTGGTGCTTTTTGTAGAAGACAGTGCCAGCTACACAGATTCTGCTGTAATTTACCTTTTTCATTTTCCTGTGCTGCTGTCTGCGATTTTCATAAAGCTTTGGTAGGGGCTGGGAAAACTGTTATTGCTAGAAGCAAAGCCTCCAAGATGGAGGAGAGATGTTTCACAACTTTTCCATTAGGGGGAATAGGGCATGCGCATGAGCATTGTGAAAAAAGGCAGATGGCTGTAGGGAACAATGCCAGCACAGTGTGTCATAGCCTCTGCTTTACACTACACTTGTCTGCATGAAATGTGGGTCAAAAAAGTGGTCTTTTTGACTGTAAAAAAACATAGATAGCACAGCTGGAGGTGTCTCAATGTGTATGTTGAGGTGACGCTCATTATGGGAACCCCACTTTTTATGTGAACACCATTGTGAAAGTTTACCAATGTTTGAATCAGAGGTATGAGATGCAGCATGTCATATACCCATTTGCATAGATGCTTTCCACTATGATTTAACACTTGTTTCTATTACCTGTGTTTGTTACTGTTCAGGTGTTTTTACCATACACTGCTCATCATGAATCATACTTCTCAGCAACCTGTGTGGTTTTCATAATGCTTGCTGTATGTTTTGCCAGGTTTCAGTAGTATACTGCTTAATGCCTCAGTGCCCTGTTCTTTGTTACTTTGCCCAGTTCTATGGACCCAGAACAGGAGCCCTCTATTTCCGAGACTCGAAGCCACTGTATCCTCTCCTGTTTGGTGCAGGACAAGAGCGTGGTCTCAGGCCAGGGTGAGAGCATCTGCATATTGTTCAAAGATCAACCACATTTTGCTTGTATACAGGCCTGTACAATATAGTACAGGCAGAAAGAGGCACAACGAAGGAGGCCTCTGTTGCCCATTTTAGTATGTCATCGGTTCTGCCCTTCGAAGAAGCACATTGTTTTTCAATTATTTTCATATACAATGTAGTATACCAAGAGTAGTCTGGTTAGCTAAAATTAATTTCATGAAATATTCACTCAAGTAAATTTGAAGAGAGATAAAGAAACGAAAAAGTCTGAAGTGTTGGTAGATATGATGTACAATTAAACCTGAATGTAATGAAGTTGATGAATTCCTGGAAAAACGTATTATAAAGAGGATTTTGTTATATGCAGGCTCAGTACAAAAATTTAAAAAATAAGTGCACAAATTAAACAAGTGGCAGTGGTGGAGGCGGTCATCTCATATGGCAGCAGAAAACTTTGATATTAAGGGCGCAGTTGCGATCGCTGGCACGCGTGCTATGTTGGCAAACATCAGTGCGCTTTCAACGCGAAGACACTGTGTGGAAAGAGCACTTCTCTCTGGAGCGGCCATGTTTGTTTACATCGACGTTTTGTCAGATTTCCGCGATATTAGATCCAAAAGAGTTGACTACCAGCCTTACTTCGCACGTACATTACAATTTGTTGCTATCGCATTCATTGCATTGCATTCAATGTGCCCTCGTGTTGTTTCTAGCATAATCGGCTAGTCGTGAAGACTGTCTCGCGAACTCGGGGCGCAGTGCAAGACGGAAGGGCGTGGTTTGTAGTCATCCCCTGAAAATCCGACGCTGTCACCATAGTCTCGGAGAGTTTCAATCACTGCCTAGTCTGACATCCCCTTAGCAGTGACAGCATGGCTGTATGCATTTAAGATAAAAAAAAAAGCTGAACGTCGTTTTGGTCACTCTATGTGTGGGCAGTGAAGCGATGCACGCGTGCACGGCATTGAAAATGAAGAGTGAACGACAAAGACACTGGGGAAAACTATTTCGCAAAGTGCCCTTCATATGCAGCGTGGCCTCACATATGTGACGCTAACTAAAAGCGTGGCACTGCCGACACAAAAGTGGTTTTCTTATTTTATTTTTGGCTTGGAGGTAAGGGGAGGGCACATAGGCGCATATGCCTGTGATGGCAAGAACAGCGGCAACGCTGGCTCATCGGGCGCAGGCCCGCCTGCTCGCCACGCGCACATTCACACGCAACAATGAGCGCTTGCTCTAGCCAGAGAGTCGCTGGGGCCAGGAGCGCGCCGTGGCTCGTGAGCTGCCGTGTTGCGCATCTTGTGATGCATGCTCGTGCAAAAATGACAATATCTGGGGCAAAATTTCTGGATTGTCTGAGGCGAAAATTCGTTGTATCAAAGATGTCTCCCACTGTTACTTTGTTACACAGAGGTTGCAAATACATGTGCTTTTAAGCAGTAACAGCGGGGAATAAAAAAACTTTGTTATATTGAGGACTTCGTCATATGGTGGTTCGTTATAAACAGGTTTATTTGTATGTGCTATTGCAATATATTAGTTTCTTAACCGTGCAAAAAAAAAAAAGAGAATGGAATGGCAGCAGAGCACCTAGGCAAAAGAATAGTAGAAAACATTAATAGAACTCTGGTTACGCATTGGTTTGGGGAAATACAGAATGCAAACTGAAGTTGAAACGTTTTACTGTGCTAACAATAATGCATAAGAGCATGAATAGGTGTGAGAAACTCTTGGTTCAGAGAAAGGCTGAAATTTGTGTGGGTGCTATCACCCCCTGTAAGTTCTGCGCCTTGTGGGGCTCATGTGTTTCGCGCATAGGCCGCATTTAGTGTTCACAACCATCGATCGTAAGGTGGCGTTGTGCTCGCGATCGTTTATCATCATCAACGTGGTTAGCGCTGTAGTGGCAGCAGTGACGCCTGGCGGTGAGGCTGGGTGGCGGCACATGGCACATAAGCTGCTCTCTTTGGCGTGTGGCGGTTGGTGCAGATGGTTGTACCTTGATGGGGCCACACGGTGTGCGGCGACTGCAGGCCGTGCAATGTGAGTCCCTAGCATTGAGTCGAACATCGGCGCCGCCACCTTCGCATCACCTTGTGTTTGTCATGTCTATTGAGTGTATTGGAATACTGTGTAAGGAGGTTTCAGTGTGTTGATCACTAGTGATGTATTTTGATTTGACTGACAATAGATTTCAAGGTTATCAAATGTTACACATATAGTACAGTGGAGTGATGCATACAGTTTTCACATAAGTGTGAACTAAATTTTTTTAAAAAAGCCTAAGAACGAAACCAACTGCAGTAAAAACTGTTTGTGAGCTATGATGACTCATTTTTGAGCTATTATGACTCATGTAGAATTTAAAAAGTGAAAGTAGCGTGCGCTAGTGGTGCAAGCTTGGGTTGCAGTGGTTGGCACCTCCTAGCTTGGTGAGGTGATGCTTGGCTTTGCTAAGGTTCTTGCTACTTTAGATTGGGTAAGCATGATGAAGCATTTTCTAAGATTTGAGTTCTACAATTATTCCTTCGCAATTGAGTGGTTGTTATAACGTCATGAATTCTTCGGGGGGTCAGTCTGAACTCATCCCAGAAGTTTTTTTAGAATGTTTCAGTTTTTGATGGATTCTTGATTAGTAGGCTTGTGCGGATATTCGGGCACTTATAATTTTTGAATAACTATTACACCATTCGAATTTGCTTCAGTTTGAATTTATGTTAGTAGAAATTTCAAGGTATATGAAATGAACGAATACAAAGCTTGCATTGACGTCATCACGACCGCCATTTTAGGGCCCTCAGCTAGTTGAGATGCTGTGTGACCTCAAAACGGTGCCGTTGTCAGATGGGAGAAGACGGGGCGCCTGGAGGCGCTTTGTCCCAGAGCCCTACAAAACTTATTTGCCCAGCATCATCGTCCTTACGTCTGTCCTGGCATGACCTCCTCCCTAGGGTTTTGAGAGAAGGAAGATATGTTTTGGGCAGATGGTTATAACCCAGACAGGGAGGCTATTGCTCGGCATGAAGGGCCAAGCAGACGTAGCCTGCCTCACGACTCCAGGCCAGAAAGACCCAGCAAAAGTAACTTCGGTTACACTTTTCGAAGCGGACGTATCTTAAAAAAAAAATGCGCAGCTGGAAACTGGTGGCATCCTATTCAGATGAAGGGGCTACTGCTCGGCGCAAGGGGCTTTGTGGTCATGGCCCAAGACGACTTGGCCCAGTGAAACTTATTCAGTCCTCCACAGACTGTGAGGGTACCATTTGGTGCACAGCCTGAGCGCTGAAGCCAGTGGCGTTCTACTCAGACAAAGAAGCGCCATTCAGCACGGCGAACCAAGTCAACGAGCAGGGATCAGAAACAACCAAACACTATCTTCTTGGCAAAGCCCGACAAGGCAACTAAACTACCGTAAAAGCCCGCATATAGCTTGGGCCCACATATAGTATGGGGTGTAATTTGGGAATAGCAAACTCAAGAACAAAGTTTTCACTTGAATATAGCCAGAGTAAAATGGAAAAATGCATTTCTTGACACACTTCATTCATCGTCGTCGTCGGACGCTCTCTCTTCCAAAGCTGTCTTGTCGAAAATGTTCTCTCACAACACATCATCCTCAGTGCTGTCAAGCGTGTTCGAGATGCAAACGAGCACCTTGGGAATTCAGGCCCAAGCCCTGACTATCCATGAGCACAGCATTGCTGGAGAGGCTTGTTTCAGCCGTCCGGCAAGGGTCTCTTCTGGTTCTCCGGGTCTCATCACTCTGCGTACAGGCGCTTGACATGGTCCCTAAATGGCCTATTAAGGCACACATCAAGCAGCTGCAGCTGTGATGTCATCCCTCCCAGGATGTCGACGAGCTTGGTGAGGAGGTAGTGCAGCAGTCGCTTTATGGAGTCAGTCAGGTGACACCGAAACCCGTCAAGCAAAAGCATCGAAGGGAGCCCCAGTAATGATCCGGGTCCTCGACACCACACGGATTTTATCCAGTCAAGCACTAGTGATTCGTCCATCCACCCCTTGTCTTGGCAGTGGACAGGGATATTTTTTGGGAACTTCTGCCCCTTCAGCAGCATCTTTCGTTTGAACACCACGTATGGTGGTAGTTTGCAATCGTTTGCAGTGCCGAAAAACATTACAGTTACCCGCGTTTTTTTGGTTCCCAGTTGATCGCAGGATAACTTGCCCGGAGCCTTTCTAATGCACTGTCACCGCCTAGGGCATATCCAGGTAGACTGGCGTTTGGTCCCTGTTGCCAATCTGGCCCAATTGAAAGGGGACTGCCTTTTGCAATGCAATTACATGCTTTTAAAACTTCACCAAGTTCTCCTTGTAGCTCTTTGGTAGCTTCTACGAGATCGACGTATGCTAACCTAGAGAGAACCCATGAAGAAAGGCATCCTATGCTTGCTCGCTTTGAAATCCTTTGGCTGAATGCCTTTGTCTCTGGCGATCTCTCTTGCGTTCACTTGTAGCAGCTCGATCTTAACAACGAGATATGCAGCTCGCTCCTCCTGCACAAAGTCTGCGAGTTCTCGTTTTACGTCATGAAAGGCCCCATTGTTTGGTCCGCGGAAAATTTTTTGCTGGCTGCAGCAAGCAAAATTCTTTTGCTTCCGCCAACTGCGAATACTCCGTTCGTTGACCCTGAACTGCCGCTCTGCGGCACAGTTGCTAATGGTTTCCCCGACAGTGTTACCTTTCCTTTTAAAAGCAGCCGAGTACTGCCTGTGTGGTGCTGACATGGCGTAAAATCTCAGGAACAAAATCGTGGCCGTCCTTATGGGCGCCAAGTTCAAACAAAGGCCACTGACCACTGTTGCATGCGTGAGTCGGTAAGACTAACGCCTACTGTCCCTAACACTATTTAGCACCTAATGCATCGCGCTGTGCCGAAACCAAAACTCGATTTCGGCCGAAAATTCTTGGGATCTGCATATAGTACGAAGCCGAAATTTCATACCCTAAAATCTAGAACAAAAAAAAAAAAAAACCCCCGGGCTATATGCGGGCTTTATGGTACCTGAGCGCATGCGAAGCACAAGTAAACAACAGGGCAAACGACGGCTGTCATCACCGCGTTGAAGTGACGGACATCACATGTACGATTTGGTTCCACAAACACCAGTTACTGGCTCATGAGGCCAAGTTGATAAAACTTGAAAAATTATTAAAAATTGATAGTGATCTGCCATCCTGACTCACTAAAGGTCACTGCTGAATGGTGCCTGGTTTTGAGAAATACCTAGACGGTTCCATTCCCTGTGGAGAAGAAACCAAACTTCTTTTTGTACTTTTGCAAGTACAAGAAGACAAAAAGATCATGAAGACTTCGCTGCCTCCCATCAAACATGGCACCACGCCATGCCACTCAGACTTGCTAGGAACACTCAACAAGTAGAAGCATGCACTGGTTAACCGCCTGTCTAAGCAGGAGGTATACAAACCGAACGGTGTCGAATGGAATCCTGGAATGGCCAAAGCTAGCTATTTTTTGATGCAGGGCTGCTGGAAGTGCACACTGGGAGAAGATGTGAACGAAGTCCTTTCTACTGCCACAAAAAGGACACTTGACATCAGATTAGTGCCGGTTTCCCTCGCGTTTCTTTACGTTTTGACATGGCTCTCAAACAGAAGAAAGCGGGAGAGAGGTCAAGAGAATGTGGGAATTAGATGACTTTTTGTCCTGCTCTGCACTGACACTCTAAAATAAGATAAAAAGTCTTATTGCCCACAGTCTTAGGGCCCCGAGTGTGCTCTTCATGCTTGAAGAACAAATTGCGTACGTACTTCAAGGAACACAAGATATAGGCTGCCTTTTCTACAGTAACTTCTCAATCGAACTGGGAGACGGCAGCCATATTTGGTCGTTATTCTTGTTATCAGCAGTTTGTTTTGGATGCTTCGGTGGTGGCTTGGTGCAATGTCAACGGCGTCGTCACAACCGGTCGTCGTGCGAGGTTGCCATGAAGTTGGCAAAGTGTATTGTAATGTTGTAGCACATGCTTCTGGGCGCCACTCGAGATCACAGCAGATACCACTGTTGCGGCTAAACGATTGCGAGAAAAGAAAGCTGCGAAATGCTTCTACGAAGTGCATGGGCACCTTGCAGAAAATAAAGCTTTCAACCACTGAAGATGAATGAAGTGCGACAAAGAAGCTGTTTCCAAACACTGTGTGCAGGTATGTCGATTTCGAAAGGCTAAGTGGCCAAACCTTTTTTGTCATTACCGCACTTTTTGCTCATCCCGAAAAAGTTTTCATTAAGTTTGTCCTGGATAATAAACACAACCCCAACTTTGCTCAGGTTTTTTTAAAAAAAGAAGTGCGTTCATTACACTAGTAAATACGGTATATTTGACTGTCACGTGTACAGTTCCAGACCTGTTATAAAATGATGATTCCTAGAAAAACTATGATGATCTATGCATGTTCCAGTACTGATCACCACTGCATGTCAAACTCGAAATCACTACTAAGTAAATTGCGACCAGGTTCTTCTAAAGCATATTAAAAAAAAATATGAGGCTTAGGCGATGGCCGACTGCAAGCTTGTGAACGGTCTGTAGACCACAAGCCGACTTTGTTATAGCATGACTGCTGCGACATGTTTGCATTTGTGCTAACACCACTAGTCTCCACTTTACACTGGCCTTTCATGTGCAGGTTGCTGAGGACATCTACTTCTCGATTCACCGTCATCTTCAAAAACTTTTTTATTCTTTAAAAAGGCTGTAATGCAGTCATTTAATGGGTTTATGTTGTCATTAAACAGGCCATTAACGAAAGCGTGCAGCAAAACAGCTTCTGTATATAGCGCAAGAGCTGTGACTACCGACTACGGAAACGCGATGTGCTCGCTTAAAACAGCAGGCACAGGGTCGGTGCTACCTGAAGCACTAAAGTGGGTACATCACGAACACACTGCATATGATGTCAAGCTTCACTATAGCACAATTTGAACACACTGACCTGTAAGTTTGCATTGTACAATGCTTGGCACTGCACTGTGTCACAAGGCTATTTAATCCAATAATGTTCTCATGTAGGTTTGTGTATTAGGCTTGTGTAACAGTCATCAAGAAATGAGACTATGAGACGATTTGTGCACACTCATGAACAAACACCTAATGTATTTACACATCAGAAATGAAGATAGCCAGGAAGTTAGAAAGATACAAAAAATAAAGCCTAAATGAAGTTACCAAGAACAGAAAACAACTGTAACACAAATGGCATGTCTAGGACGAAAGGACAGCGTCACTGTTTAATATGCTTAGCAATTGCAGCAGAGCCAATAGATGCGAAATGCCGGCGCACTCATGCAGACAGAGATGACTAGGGATGCAGTAGAGTGGCGTTGGGTAGAGACGCTCCCTTCGCTGGCTTGGAGGAAAAGAAGCATCGGGCGAATCGAGAACCGAACTTTCAGCGTTCAGAAGAAGCTCTGTGTCCAAATAGAAGCCCGCAGCATCCTTGATGCAGGAGCTCTGCTGGCCCCCGCTTCTGCGCCCTGTGCACCTCAGTCCCGACTTGGCCACGTCTCCAAGCTCTGCTGTTCTGCGCCCGTGGCTTTTCTTCTCCGTTCCCCTGTATGCTCCTTATTGGCTTTAAAGGTTCTCACTCACACGTGCCGCAGCCATGTGCCGTCTTTGTGCTCCTCGGTTTGTGCTGATGGAGTGGTGCCCTTTTTAAACGTGCACTTGCACATCACACACTGAAAGGTCACAATTGCTGTCTCTGTGAAAAATACAGTCTCTTCCATATCATAAATGTACTTCACATCGGAAAGCACATTCTAAGGTACATTCCGCACGTTGCACATCTAACAAAATTGGTGATAGTGTCACATGACGCTCACCAGGCGTTTCAGCACGTGTGAGGTGTACGAGGGCACATATAAATGTGCCCGTAATACACCTTGCAATGGCTTTGTAATACTAGCTGTTTTTGAGCCAGCTCACCAGGGTGACGCATCGTGTAAATTTTTCTCACCCCATCTGGGCAGCGCTGGTTTTGCATAGGTGTATACTACAAGTCTGCATGTAACCCCTGTAAAGGTGGTTTTACTGACTGCAGCAAACGGGTGATGCCCTGAATGCACCTTTCCAGGGAAAATCTGCACTGCCACAAAGCTTTACTCACGGTTAAATGACCATGTTACCCCGACACCGATTCTTATTTTTTCAAGTTAAAAACCTTGTTATGCTGGCTTACATGCTCCGAGTACATATAGTAAAATCTAAAAACGGGACATATTTTACACTTGCGTTTTACAAAATGTAAAGATTCTTCCACTTCCTTTGAACCAAAAAGAATGACATTTGCACGTGCCTTGTTTTAATTACTAAATATGTATATATTGTGCAGGTTACCTGGGTCAATACATTGATAAATCAATCAATCAATGAGTTTTATTGTGACAAAAAGAATAAATACAAAGTATGAACTATACAGGCAAGGGTCCCAAAGTTTGCGACTGCAACGGGGCCCTCGGTTATGCTTACAAATGAGTTAAACAATTATAAGCAGCAATCAGAACTGAAAAATCAAAACAAGGAATACACAACGAATATGAAAAGCAAAAAGGCAAAAAACCGAAAACACAGTATATAATGAGTACACTTTTTAAGCAGCACAATTCTGGTACAACTGAAAAAACAAGGAATGCCTAAACGAGAATAAAAGACGTGGAACCAATACACACATCATAAGTACAATATATAGCAGTACAAATCTGGTACACTTAAAGAAAAAGGAACTTCATGAATTTAAGAAACATTGCTTCAATAAATTTTAAATGAAATCAATGAAATATGCTCATTTTCTTCATAATATGTGATGTAAACTATTCAAATTCTATTGGGACCAAATAACTATTCATTTCAAACCAAAAATTTACTAATTGCACTAGCATATTAATTAGCTACTCATTAGGTATTGATTGGCTATGACTAGGTTTTGCCCATGTATTTGGATCATGCTAAGCATTTACCTGCTTTCTCTAGAAAATATTGAGTTATTTATTCAATATTGATTGAAATTCATTAGTTATTGATTGGCTATGACTAGGCATTGATGGCTAGAATGACTTAAATTAGTCTCAGCCTTGTTTGCTAGACTAAACTGGGCATAACTAAGCTCGACTTACTATATAGGCTATACAAAAATGGGCTGAGTATTTGCAAATGCCGCATGCAGCACGAAAAGCTTAAACAGCACTGCTGTTAAATATTGCAGTTGAAATCAGTAATTTCACCATGGTAGTAGTGTCTTGACATAATATTGAAAGTGCATGTGGAAGCCTGACCTTCATTTTCTTATAACCGTTCTCTTGCCAAGAAAATACAATGCTTGTTTTTTGCTTCAAGGTCGATTCTGTTGTACAGAGGTTTCAAACCTGTACACGAGTTTGTAAAATTGAATGGCATTATGTAGTAAGTGAAGACTACCAGTAGTTGTCTTGGCTGTTACTCTGCATTCCTTAATGTATAACATAAAAAATCTAGGGGCAGCAAATTTTTTTCAAATTGTGGAAGCATTTTCACTTTACGCTCCTTCTTTTATCTTGAGATATACATTCGTTTTGGCGTTAGAGAGCACTCTTTGTATCGCAGAAGACGTCCTTATTGCAGAATTGCAGGGTACCTTGCACTTCGAAAATATTACAAATCATGCATTCGCATCTTCTACAGTGTATTGATGCTCGTTAAAGAACCCCAGGTGGTCAAAATTTCCGGAGCCCTCTACTACGGCGTCTCTCATAATCACATGGTGGTTTTGGGGCGTTAAACCCCACATATCAATCAGTCAACAGTGTATTGATGTTTCATTGCTTTACAGGACACCCAACACATGCATGATTGCTGGAGTTGGAACAGTAAGCGGTTTTGGCCTCTAAAAATTATATTATGCATATTTGCTTTGGGCATATGGCTCAACAAGGTGCCTGTTATTCTTTTCAGGCAGCAATGCTAGTTACCAAGAACTTGGACACATATCGCCAGCTTATGAAAGACTCGAGAGATTATTTGGAGGAAAAGCTGCAGGTAAGTATACTGTAATAAGTACTCTGCACGAAACTGCAAAAAAAAAAAAAAAAAACAGCGGATTCCACATACCATGAGAATCGATGTCATGTGGAGAGACGGTGGCTGTGGTGTGATTTCTTTGTGAAGCAAAACATTACGAAATAACATAAGCATATGCACAAACACACAGACATGTATGTTGAACAGTTGCATATGTTTTATATAGCGAGTTGCTTACAGTTATCTAAGGATGGCAAGAGCAGCATAGGTATTGCAAACACTAGGAGTGGTAAGCTTAAAAAAAATAGCATTTGTGCTTGCAAGGATGGTAGCTCTGGATAGTGCTACGTAGGCAAACTTTAGAGAATGGCGTTAAGTACAATTAACTCTAACGGGATGTGACGTTGGTATCATAGGAGTATATATGGAATGTTTATAAAGTTAGGTGGGCAGCACTGCAGCCCCTATTGACAATTCACCAATATTACGCCTATGTAGGATCTTCTTCTAAAGGAGTTCCAAGATCTGGCATAGCCCTGTTGTAGAGTACTTAATTCCCACGCAGAATGCTTGGGTTCGATTCCTGCAGGGACCATAACATACATTCTTTGCATTCGTCAGGTCAACGCTGCCGATATTGGTTTTTCTGAATGTCCTCAAATTTACCTTGAAGACAATGGGCTCTACCAGCACCCCATGATTTGTTTTCGGGCCAAGCTTTCGACTCAAGACGCTATGAAGCTGCTCAAGCACCAAGTCATCGACTGCAACACTTGAGATATGCGGGCCATTCTCGGCCTCGACTTAGAGAAAGCCTTCGACAATGTTACTCACTCTTTCGTGTTGCGGTCGATTACTGAGCTCGGCCTTGGAGTCAGATTCTACGAATATGTCAAATCGTTCTTGACCCGTAGGAGAGCCACCCTCAGAGTGGGAGACCTTGTCTCCGAGGAGATCGAGCAGGGCTCGCGCGGCACGCCACAAGGGTCAGTGATATCGGCCACCCTGTTCAACCTTGTCATGGTCGGGTTGTCCAAGAGGCTTTCATGTATTGAAGGCATTAACCACACAATTTACGACGATATTACCATTTGGTGCACAGGTGGCAGCGACGGGCAAGTCGAGTGCTCCCTGCAGGAGGCCATAGACACCACGGAAGATTACCTCCGTCCCACAGGCCTGAGGTGTTTCCCAAACAAGTCCGAGCTCCTCCTCTACCAACCCACTAGGCGAGGGCCCAAGCCAAAAAACTGGCAGCCGATCTCGAAGAGTGATATCAAGCTCTACACCGAAGATGGCAGCGCAATACCCAGAGTCGACTCCATTCGGGTCCTCGGCATGACCATCGAGTCCAATGGTTCTAACGGCAAGACTATACTCAAGCTCGCCGCCAAGACGGATAACGCGGTTCGGCTGGTTCGGCGGATGGCCAACCGCTACGAAGGCCTCAAGGAAGACAACCTAATCTGTCTGGTCAATGCCTTTGTGCTCTGCCACTTTTCATATGTCACGGCTATGCACAATTGGCAGCGTGCCGAGCGTGACAAGATCAACGTCTTGCTTAGAACGATTACCAAGCGGGCCCGCGGTATCCCGATCAGAACGCGCACCGAGTGACTGCTCCAGCTCGGATTACACAATACGTTGGAGGAGATTGCAGCAGCGCAGGAGCGGGCCCAGCTCGCGCGCCTTTCGAGCTCCCAGACCGGCAGACATATACTCCGAGAGCTCGGTCACTCTCCGGCTGAAGTGGACGAGAAGATGAGAAAGGTGCCCCGTGAGATTCGCAACCTCATCACCGTGGCACCAATACCGAGGATTGTCCATCCCGAGCACAATCGTGGTAGGCGACAGGCTAGAGCTGCCACTCTTCTTAAGCAGATTCAAAGTGAGGAGCGCGGCGTCAGCTTTGTCGACGCGGCAGCGTACCGTGGGAGAAGCCGCGCCTTCTCCGCAGTCGTCGTCGACTCCAAACAGCAAATCACCAACTGCGCATCGGTTCACACTGACGATCCGACGATTGCCGAACAAGTGGCCATCGCCCTGGCCATCCTGGAAGGTGAAAGGGAGGTCATCTAAAGTTGCTCTAGGTCAGCTATTCGCACTTTCGAGCGCGGTGTAATCTCCAAGAAAGCCCTGCGCGTGCTCCAGAGTGGCGGCCGCAACGGTATCTGATCTAGTTTCCTGCACATGTTGGACAGGTCCAAGGTGCTCCCCCCAACCTCAACAAGTCTGCCCACGAGGCCGCGCGCGCACTAACCGACAGTGTCGGTTCCGGGCAACGATTCGGGGTCAACGGGGTTGCGGAAAACAGGGACGCGGCTGTCATGTACAACGAAATAACAAAATATTTTTACTTCGCGCAAAGACTATATCCACTCCCTCATTCAAATCTTAATAGGTCACAGGCCCTTACGCTCAGACTACTGCAGACCGACACGTACCCTAACCTGAGATCCCTTCACGCTATTTATCGTGACGTGTTCCCCAGTGACGCTTGCCCGTATGTGGGGATGTATCCACGCTGGCGCACATGCTCTGGGAGTGCAAGGAAATGTACACTAACTCTAACACTACATCGGTCAGGTGGGAGGCGGCCCTACGCAGCTCCCTCCTGGCCGACCAACTTTGGGCCGATAGGCTTGGCCTAACAATCCCGGTGTGGGAGTCGCCCGCTGCGCGCCGACTCGTGCCTTGCAGGACCACTATAACGTTTCGCAACCAACCAACCAACCTCAAATTTAAATTACCAATGTCTGTTCTCGCCTTGTTCCACAGTAGTTACTGCCATTTTGTGCCGGTTGGATTCAATGATAACTAGAGACATTGTCAGAGACATTATTCATTGACTTTTGAATATTAAGGTTCTTTATACGTGATGATATTGTTGTTTGATGTGTGTGTGTGTTTTATTTTTCACGTACTCCTCTTTGTTTTTTCCTTTAAGATGTATGTTAAATATTTACAAACTGGCTGGGCTCAATGTGTCTGCAGTACACTGCTTTCAATTTAAAAAAGGAGGAGTAATTCATGGTATGTGGTGCCTCAATTTAGCGAAATTCACAAAAATATTGTTTCGTAAGAATGACGAGAGGCATGGCTATTTACAACTGGTATTTACGCTGATGTGTACAGCATTGACCAAGGTGAAGGACAGCATGCTCAAAAGACAGACAGCCCTCTTCTTTTTCATCTTCTGTCCGCAGAAGGTCTGATCGTTGATTTGTCAGCTATGTAGCATTGCCACTGAACAGTAAAAGCGCTGTCTCAGTGCACTTAAAGCGTGTTCTTCAGTTGGCAGGTGGTATGGTTTTAGCCTACTGACATGGACTATGTCACTGCGCATGTTTAACGTCTCGAGAGATTTGAGTGTGGCGCCACGATTGACATCCGCGTGAAAGGGGTCAAGCTCACTCCCGCTCCCCCTACGCCAATGAACCGTGAAGGAGGAGAGAGTCGTGATAGGATTTGAGAACGGCGACAAAGCCCGCGCAATGGCGGCGGGCTAACCTCAATTTCCCACAGCGTAGAGGCTGTGAAAATAACAAAAGGTAGGCTTACACCTTTGGTCATTGATCGCCTTAGCTCGCAAGTAAATCTGGAGGTTGTCGTCTCAGTCCAGTGGCTGGTGTCAGAGAGAGCATCTCCCTGTTGGCACCCTCGTTTTCTCCAACCTCCCGGTTTCGTTCTCCCCAACGAGGGTTGCTTCCCTTGCTGAGGAAGAGTAATCCGTTCCGCGAACCGGAAAGGGGGTATAGTGCACGCTGGCTGCGGGGTGAACGGGCGTTCGAAAAAGGCTTCATTGTCTCTCTCTCACGAAGGGACTGACGTGTCTTCGCGAGTAGGCTGCCGTAAAAGGGAAAGGAAGAATGGGTGTGCGTGCTTCCTCACGAGACTTGCATTGTGAAAATGGGTGGTTGAAAAGAAGCAGGATAGGCAGCTTCAATTTCTTAACGAACAATGCGCAAGATGTTGTCATAGGTGGACAGCTGGCGGGCGGCTTCACACAATGAGCTTGCGGCCGTTTTGGGTAGCTGTGTGAATTGCTTAGTTACGGCAGCTCTCGGCTTCTTCAAACTGCCAACACTTTTTGATGATTCCGTCGGCGGTGGCAACGTTGTTATAAATGACAAGGTTAAAGGCACCATCTGCTATGCCTTTCAGCACATGGGGTGCCTTCTCAGACTTAAGCATGTGCTCATCAACCAGGTGGCAAAAGGCGATGAGGTCGTAAATGTACGTGATATACGACTCGTTAAACATCTGTGCACAAAAATGCTAGTTGATACCGTGCAGCTATCTGCCATCTCTACCACCCAACGGTGTTGCCAAGAAAGTTGCATATCTTCTCTTCACAAGAGTCCCAGCTTATTTCAGCTTTATGCGTCTTGAACCATACCTGTGGTGGGTCATCGAGGTAGAAAAGCATATTGGCAAGCATAAGGGTCGGGTCCCACCTATAGCTGGCGCTGATCCATTTGTAAAGGTTTATGTATTTATCAATGTCAATGCTTTCCCGATCAACAATATCATGAGCAGGACATAGGACTATGTAGGTGGAAGCCAGAGGAGGGGCAGATGGGAAGACGATGTTTTTTCAATCTGTGACAGGGTTAGACCGATGATGATACAGGCATTGTGGAGCCTCGGGATAAATGCAGGGAATAACCAGCACCCCCACTACAAAGATGTTACGTAAGAATGACATGAGACATGGCTATTTACAAGTCATAATTATAGCATCGACCAAGATGCACAGCGGATCGACCAGCTCTCTTTTTTGCGCAGGATATTCTGATCATTGATATGTCAGCTACGTAGCAATGTAAGCATAACCACTTTGTGACAACTTTCAATTATGGCACCAGTAACTGCTAACTTCCTCATAAAAGCTAAGTGTACCAGCATATTTTGGGATAGTTTGTGCACCTGGACAGGCGATATGTTGGTCATGTATAAGAGGCACGACAAACCTCATGTACACAAACTTGAGTTGCACATTGAACAAACTAAAAAATTAAGTGGTCTAATTGGGTATGAAATAACGTTTTTTTTTCTGATGAATCCTGCTGTGACGCACCTTTCTTTCTTTTTTAAGTTCTTGATGTGAGCTCTCTAGTGTGGCGTATCCCAGATGGCACATTTTCTGTGCACCTAGAGTATCAGTAATGCCTGAAATTGGGCCCTCACTTTTGATAATTATTATGTCAAAGTACATGCATTTTGTTTTAGGTTTTAAGAAATGGTTATGGCAATAGATTTTATTTTCCTACAACTTCACTCTGAAACTGCTCTCATGTTAATTATTTGAAATCTGCCCGCCGCGGTGGTCTAGTGGCTAAGGTACTCGGCTGCTGACCCGCAGGTCGTGGGTTCAAATCCCGGCTGCGGTGGCTGCATTTTCGATGGAGGCGGAAATGTCGTAGGCCCGTGTGTTCAGATTTGGGTGCACGTTAAAGCACCCCAGGTGGTCAAAATTTCCGGAGCCCTCCACTACGGCGTCTCTCATAATCATATGGTGGTTTTGGGACGTTAAACCCCACAAATCAATCAATTATTTGAAATCTTCCTAATTGCTCATTTCAGTGCAACATTAAGTGCGGTAAAGTTTTTTTTTCTCAGCTTAGGGTTTGTGTTAGAAGACGACAGTCGCAGCATTTTTGTAAAAAATCTGCATATTGTCTATAAAAAGATGAGATATGGGAGATGCCCTTCAAATGGCAATGTTTATCCTCTCCAATGCTTCTTCCCTGTGCTAGCCTCGTCAACACCGGTTAGACAATTTCGTGGCTGCAGCAGTGAAAGCATGTCATCAAAAGTAGTGAAAGGGAAATTAGTGTCCTAGCATAGCTGTGCAGGGGGTGATTGAGTGCAAAAAAAAAAAAGCATAGTAGTGATCGAGTTGGAAGCTGCAGACATGCTAGGGAACTCTGATGTTCCTTCACTCTTTGGTCCACAGGTGCACAGCTCCCCGAAACATTTCTTTCTTGGGTTGTGTTGAGAAGGGAGAAGATTTTTTTGTGGCTGTGCTTGCACATACACTGCCGTAATGGGAAGTATTTTATCGTAAATAATAATTGCAGATGCATTTTCTTCCTAACTACGCTCCCTTACGCAAGAAGTTGGGAGAGACATGAATGCGATAAACTGCAGGTTTTACTTTTATTATGCTCTGAGCATTTTATCGACTATGAACACAACTTTCGCTATAATATCAGGTTGCAAAATTTGAAAGGCCTTTCAGTCATCGATGTTGTCGAACTATGCAATCGGTCTCTGCTGGTGACTCTAAAATGTTCTTGCAAGAAGCTCATGTCTTTAATTTGGAAGCGCAAATACCAAGGGCACATTTGAGAGCCAGTATTGCTTGAATGGCTGGCTTAATGATGACTTTAGTCAGGGCAAGTAATCAGTCCAGCTACTAGTACAGGGGTCTCAAACACAATCCTGTTCGTGCCTGTCGCATTTCAATGGAGCCAAATTGGTAGAGGCCCGTGTATTGTGCGATATCAGTGCACATTAATGAACACCAGATGGTCGAATTTTCCGGAGCCCTTCACTACTGCGTCTCTGATAATCGTATGGTGGTTTTGGGACGTAAAGCCCCAGATATTATTATTAGGGGTCTCAAACACACAGTCCTGTGTGCTAGTGGCCAAGTCTGAACATGACTGTCCTCATTCCATATATTTTTTTTCTCCATTAGTATGCTCATAATCTGCTCAGATGATCTGGCTGGCTCCCAGGATATTTTTCAAGAGGCACCCCATCTTATCATGCGTTAAAAAATAACCATGGAACAAAATTATAACTCAGAATTCGCATCTAGATTTTTGCCATTCTTGAAATGGGTATCATCGTGTTTCTCAATACTTGATGTGAAATTCCCTTTAGGTATAACCTATACATGAGGTATGGTAAGGGCCTTTGTCAAATGCCCCCCCCATTACCCTTGCTCTAACCTTCTTTGTCATCCCGGCTGAGAATGAATTGCATGACAGCAGCTCGCAGCAATATTTTTATTGTTGTGATGTGACAGGGTGCCAACCAACAATCATGAAAATGCAGTATTTTTAAATAAAGAACGTTGCCAATCTTCAAATAACTTGAGCTCAATATTTTTAGACTAAACTAAACTCGCCTTTAACTCTGCATTTTTTTATGTTATTTTCAGGAAGCATTTGGGCCTCTGGTATCCTTCAACCATAGAAAAGGCACCCAGGCTTTGCCAAACACTTGTAGTGTATCATTTGCTGGAATGAAGGGCCCTGAAATCTTGGCCAGAGCAAAGCATGTTCTAGCCAGCACAGGGGCGGCCTGTCATCACACAGCAACGTAGGTGGTGAAAAGCATTTATTCCCGCTTTACCTAATTTGAAGCAATTTCATTTGTTGTGCAAAAGAAATAGTACTTCACTGCCTAGGTCAGAAATTTGGCAGTCAGAAACCAGTGTCATTCAAATTTTGGCATGCAGCTCAGTCCTTTAGGGATTTCAAGTAATTGCAACATTTTATAACTAAGGTGGTGTAGAAGCTGGGAGCGATCTGGCGTTTATAAAAGTAAGACACCAGCTTCGAGCGTATTCCTTTTGTGCTCATTATCTGCTAGCACGCATGAGCCTTCATGAGGGGCAAAGCATGATTGTGAGGCTTTGACGAAAGGAGGCATGGCAACATGTCTGTACAAATAGGAAGTGTTCCATGCTGTCACCATCCCATGATAAAACTCACTCTATTTATCTAGAAGTTATTGAGCAGTATGCAAACATAAATCCTACTTGGCTTCTTGCTAAAGCAACTGCCCAGTATCATTGTCATAGCTTTCTCACAAAATGAAGGTGTCGTGCAGCAATCTCTAGTCACTCTTGCTTTGCGTGAGCTAGTTTCATATTATTGTACTGCATTCTCCAAGTTCATTGTGCCACCTAGTTCTCCCCCAACTGTTTTTAGGATTATATTAATACATTAATACAACAACCCTTGCCTTCTGTGCCTGCCAAGCCCCATTTTTTTTCAGCTAGTTATTTTGCAGCCATGTAAATTAGAACCACGTAATATGTGCGTGCTGGGAACATGGCACAACTCATTCATTAAATAGTACTGTGCAGTTACTGGCAAGCACAAATTTTTTCCCCTACATGTCCTGATGCTGTAACTGTTCCCTTCACTAGCATCGACCAGTTTTTCTTTCTTTTAATTGAGCGCAGAAAGTATTTTGCCTCTCTTGCTAGACTCTGAAATAACATGTGGTGGTGATGCCAAGGGGTGCTTCAAAACTTGCAGTGAACAAGCTGAGTTGCTGAAATGTTGAAAATGTTCCGATTACATTTGAAAGAATTTTATGTAGCACAACCAAAATAATGAAACAGGAAAGGTGCAGACAAACAACATGTTTATTTTCAAACATGCATTTTTTTGAAGCCATAATCATCAGGCAGACACATCAGCACGTAGGGTCCCTCAAATAAATGCACGACAATGCCGTCTACTTAAACCAAATCATACCAGATAATACCGTGTGTCACCACAAACTCAAGAAACCAAGCTCCTTGGTTGACGATGCTATGAAAGGCCTGCTGGTACAAACATCGCCAACAGCATCAATAAGTTCGGTTCTCACGATCAAATGAGTCATCTCCTCTTTGTGTTGACCAATAATGACTGTGTTCTGGAACGAAGGTTGGCAACCACATGCATGAACGTGAAGAGCAAGAAAACCTTCTGGTGGCAGTTTATTCAACATGTAATTGTGCTCTCTCAGTCGCTCGTTCACACTTTATGGCTTAAAAGTGGTGCGAGTTTGAAAATAAACATGTTGTTAGTAGCACTCTTTCCTGCCTATCTAGATCTTTGCTGTTTCCTTATTCCGCTTGCGCTACATAAAATTCTTTCAAATGCATCACTAACAAGCCCACATTGCTACTCTTGTCGACTATCCTTCAGGCTACAGTTTCACCTATCATTTTCTGCCCATATTTATTTTGCTATTCTAAAAAATACTAAAGATCCGCTATATGTCCGTGCTCTTTTTCTACTACGTCCTTTGTGCCATCTTGATTGTTCTGTTGATGCGATTCATGCCAGCCCTTCAAGAGTGCTGCTCAATTCTGGAGTCCTGGAGGACAATGCTCGTGGAACGCTTAGACTGAGCACAGGAAGGAAGACAACTCGTGCTGATGTGGAGGCAGCTGTCAGGATGCTTCAAGATGCAGTGTCAGCCATCCGGGAAAAACAGTCTTCTGGGTAGCTGTACTATCAGCATGTGTTGGTGAACACATTATGTAGCTGGTGAACTTCAAGTACCAAGTTCAGCCTGTTCTGTGGTAGTTTTACTAAGTTAGTGTATCATTCTCTTGTTAATAATTTGTTGGTTGGTGTGATTTGCAGTGGTATATTCACAGAAAAAAGAGAACCAGAAAAGATTGTGGACAGAAAGGGTGTGTGCTCAGAAAAGGCAGCATCTCACATCAGATGGGTACAAGTGTAGGTCCATGTGAGCAAGAACTGTTGAGGCATTCCATTTATTTTTTGTGCATTTTAATTGAAGGCTGACTTATATGGGCATTTCCACTACCATTGATATGCAAAGCCACAACGATCAGGCACGTTCCTTTGTTTTGGTGTATGTGTTACTTGAGTTTTGGGGCTCACTTGTAATTGTGACTATGTGACAAAAGGCTAGGCAGTGGTCATGTAGTTAACAATCTTTTATGCTCAGTTCATCTCTGTCTGTCCTACATAGACGTGTCTGCAACTGAAAGGAACTTTCACATCTACTTCCATTGTATGCTCGATTGCACTCTCTAGTGTTTTTTTTGTGCTGTTTAAGAACATTCATGTGAAACCAACTGTATATATTTTACGAGTTAGTGCTAGAGTAACAGTGAGATGCAATCAAACTGCCATCTTTGGATTTGTCTTTGGTGGCTACACAGTTTAAAATGAATTTTATGTTGCATCTTTTACTTTTATTGCTTAAATTGAATGTGTGCAGATACTAAATGGCACATTTTCAGTGCAGCTAAGCAATTTGTTTAGTTTTAAATGTCTGAAAAAAATTGAGGCTTGCTTTGTTGCAGGGTTTGCATTTCAGACCGTGAATTCGTTCATAACATTAGATATTTTCAAGAGTGTTTGCTGTCCTTGTAAGCATACGTGCTGTAAAAGCAGTAGGTAAAATTTTGAATGAAGTGTCTGTGCCTTATCTTGTGGTACCTTTTGTGGCTCATAAACCGGTTTAAGCCAGGAACTTGGGAAGTATCAGTTCGGTATTGTGTGAACCGCATATGTATGTGCTACCTTCCCAAATTACATTGGTGCTCCTCATATTGCTTTAAAAATATTTCTGAAAGTTGTATTGTTGGTTTATTTACGCAATACATTTATAAACTATGTCTCATGCCTCTTGAATCGCTTGGTGTATAAGCTTTTGGAAATTCTCTGTAGCAGCTCACCTTATTGCATTTGTTTTAGCTTATGCCTCTGATCCACGTGCATTTTTTAGCCAGTTTAAAAGCGTGACTGGCGCCTATACTTTGATTGTTTAGCTGGTTGTGCATTTAAACTTTGTGCATTTGTTTGGACCTTTACATTTATTATGGACTGGTAAATAGTGGGTAGTTGCACGTGCTTTGCTGTTTACAATATAAGCCTGCTCTGACTGATGCTGGGCATGAATTTCAGCTTTTGTATGGCTTTGTTTTTCTCGTTTTTCATATTTAGGTATTTTATTTGCTACCAGCTGCTAAAGATGTTGGTATGATAGTAGTTGTGAATATGTGAAAAAAGCCCAAAAAAAAGAAGAATGCTTAGTCTTCATTATATTCGTAAGGAAGGCTGTTTCATTGTTAATTATTTATGTGATCATATTGTGAAATGGGTTTTCTGGGGCACACTAGAACTTTCAAGGAAGCATTATAATAAATTTACCAGTAGCTGGTTAAACTCTCAACTACTCTGATAGTTTGAATTTTCTTCTCTAAAATGTTTATTTTTTTAAAAGTTCATGTAAAATATTTCTCTAAATAGGAAGTTCTAAATAGCAAAAAAAGTAGCGGTCATTACTGGAGCATTATGTTCTAGCGGGATCTGCATGTCGTCTTTCACATTCTTGTCAGCATTCCTTGGCCTGCCAAAGGACCATCACGCTATAATGCAAAAGCTCTTAAAAAATTTTTCGTAACAATTTTCGTGAAAGGGGTAGTTCCTTATATTGACCTTACACATTGTCAAGCACATCAGTTTTAGTCCGCTAACACGAAATATTGCAAAAAAGCAACCGCAGCTAGTGTACTGCTTTCCTGTGGTTCTTTGGATTGTCATTTGAACGTGTTCATATCCTTCGGTTCAGCCGACATTGGGGAAATTCAGGCACGTCACGTGGTATTCAATGCGTACTCTTTCCGATTGAGGAGACCACGTTTTAAACCCCAGCCCCAGCAAGAGGACTTATCTTAAGGCAGAAGATGCACCATCAGGCACGAAAATTGACCTTCAGCAGTGAACACTAGGGGTGCAAAAAACAAGCATATGATGGTGTCATCATGACGCAACTAATTGCCAAAATTTGCGACACTGTCATAGCATCATCGCATGAGGTCATCGTTGTGCAGTGCCTCCATGATCTGTGGGCAGATTGCAGAGCCAGTGCATAACCAGCTGAGGTCCAAAAACCTTACAATGCCCCGATCACGAAATCAGACAAAAAAAAAACTCGTTAGGTGCCAAATCGGTGGGTGCTGAAGGATCAATGTATTGACTGAAAAAAAAGATGGCTTTCACCTTCGAGTTGTCTTGGACAAATGCATAAGAGACCCAGAGAGTTTTTCTTTTATTATTGTTGCACAGCAGCTTCTGGTGCACTTTTTTGTAGACGTTAATAATAGTGCAGATCCTACCTCCTTCAACAATAACGGCGCTGTGTACTAGTAATTCCTTTGCCTCAATCTTTCGACTGTAGTTGACGTGGTATCTGAAAGCTCGGAGATGCGTTGTCGTAAAATTCACTCGACAGGCTTGATGACGGCACGCTTTCATCTGGCGGGAAGTCATGTCTGCCCCGCAGCGGTGCTCTAGTGACTAAGGTACTCGGCTGCTGACCTGCAGGTCGCGGGATCGAATCCCGGCTGCGGCGGTTGCACGGACGGAAGCAAGAATGAATGGACGGACAGATGCTTCGCCCCACTCTCCATCATTCACTCCGTGGATATGCTGCCATTTTTTTCCCACACTAGTTCATTCCGGCACCCTTGTGCGCTTCCCCTTCACGGTTGTTACCGGCCCACTACCACTGTAAATTAACTGGTGGCTCCTCTAGCTCGCGAAGATGCGTCTGTGCAACCGCGTAAAGCTTTATGGCCCCAGAATCCAGCATCCTGTAGAGCTCCTCCCACCTGCTTAGCTTTCTTGCTACATGCATGTTTAGGAAGCCTACTTTTGTGAAAGTAACTCTCGTGCGATGTCGGCGTCTGCCTCCCGCGTTCACTCTCACTGGCTTGAGTCTTGTGAGCGTACTTTGTGCCTGGGAGGTTGCTGCTTTCTGGCCATCTGGAGAAGTGCCTTCTCTATGGCTGCCATTATTGGTGTAGTAGGGTTACTTGTCAGCTGTGTCCCACTCGGGGCGGCTGCTCGTTGTCCTAAAAAACAAAGTCTGCGGCCTACACGACTGTCAGCTTCCCGTGGTCTATACAGTTGCTGTGTATCACCACAGAACACCTACCAGTTTCACTACGGTATCACTTTCAGGTCTCCTTCCCCCTGGTATCACAAGCTCTACTCTTGTTCCCAGTTCAGCACACATTCGGTCAAAACGCTATAGGTCCGTTCGTTTCACCTGCACCGGTCGGAACCGGTTCACGGCTGTGCACGCGAAGTTCAGAAATTGTGCAGCGTGAGTTCAGCGGTGCAGGCAGAGCACGACACCCGAAACAAATGACGATGTGCCGACAAGGTGTTGGCCTTATTTCTTTTCGGTTAATTTATACCGTTCATCAGACACTGACCTATGGCGAAACGCACATGTGGACAGTTTATGAAGCGCAAAAATCTTGAAAATACACAGCGCGTTTGTAGAGGCAGGTACGGCGCCTAAGCCACCTACGCCTAAGTGCTGCGTCGTCTGCTCAGCTGCACGCGCGGCTGCACCAAGCCGGCACCGTCAGCGAAGGAGGTGCAGGAAAATCGTGAACCCGTGCTGCACCTCTTCTGCACCTTTCGAAACGAATGGCTGGGTTCAGCGGTCGTCAATGCTGCACCGCTGAAACGAATGGCAAGGTGCAGCACCTCGTGAACTGGTTCACGTGGTGCAGGCGAATCGAACGGACCTTATAGTTACCCTAGGGAGCCTACATGAACGGCTGTTTTTAGGGTGATGTCAGCCTTTGACCCACTACATGCCGCCAACGCACCGCCGCCCGCCAAAACACAATGTTGCCAGACAGCAACGCCGCGCTGTCGCCCCATCTTGGTGCCCGCACTGCGTCTACGCCCGGTTGCGTTTAGTTCTCAATAATACGGCGTCGAACGTTGCGGTAGCGTGTTAAACGCTGCCGGTGAAGCCTTGGAATGCCTGGATGCTGCGTACCGCTCTGCACTAACCACAACAGAAAGGGGGTGCGAATGTTCCGCTTCCCAGCGAGCCCTGGCCGACGACAACTATGGCTGGCTCAAGTGAAGCGAGACGGCTGGGAGCCCAGCAGTGCGTCTCGTATTTGCTCTGTGAGTACTGCGTATTTCGTTCACTGTTTTTTCCTGCGGCACGCGTATATGTGTTTCGCGGTGTTCGCGAATGAGTAGATAACCGAAGTTGTCGTTGCTGCGTCCACCCATTGCGAGTAGGAAGCCCACAAACGGGACGCGTCCGCGCGTTCGTACGGAGACGCGCTCGCTAGTCTGAGCTGTTGCCACGCTTGCGTTCGTGTCAGCGTAACCTCAGTATTATGTCGCAAGTGTTTGTGTGTGGGCTGCGAATTTCTTCGTGCGCCCACTTTGAGAACTGGGTCGCTTACACGACCCTGAGAACCACCGCTGTCACTCGGTCAGCTCCTTTTTGTTGCGCCGTACTTCGCGTAGCTGGAGGGAGCGGCGGCTGGCTCTAAAATGGCGGCGCACAGAAAACTGCTGAATTTGGTAGAAGTACAGTGTACTAGAATAGAAGCAGTGTGCTCACAGGCGGCGGTGGGTGACCCACTTCGTGTCGACGCCGAGAGGCGGCGCGGCTCGCAGCGTCACCTGAAACTCCTTTGCGCGCCGAAGTAGAGAGCCACAGCGCAATTGTTGAAATGCCAGAAATTATGCAACGTTCGCGACATGCAATGCACGACATTTTTTGGGGGGCATCTTATCAGTGTGCAGGGCGTGAAGCAACTGACATTGTATTATTTTCCGGCCGTTTAAATGTTCAAAGTGGTTTCGCTAATGCAGCGGTCATGTCGACTGCGGTTCCGAGGTGCGAAAAACACTACGCACTTTTTTTTTTCGCAATGTCAGAATTAAAATTTTGGAGTTTAACGGGCCGAAGCCACACTTTCGCTATGAGGTGCGCCATAGCGGAGGGCTGCAGGTTAATTTAGATCCCTTTAGAATTTTTAACGTCAGCCGAAATGCCGACACACGGCTTGTTTCGTTTTTCTCCTCCGTCAGGAGAACAGCCACCGCGGCTAGGATCGAACACACGTCCTTGGGTTCAACAGTACAACGCCTTAGACAGCCTCCACGCCGGGTTTTTCTTGATTACGTGCCTGCTGCAGGAATGCGCGCCCTAAACCCAAACTTTAACCACCATGACAACCACGCACGACGTTTAACGTTCTAGCATCGCTGCTTCGAGACTTTAGGTGATGATTGGTGTGTGGCGTGATTCTTGCTGTAAACAAGACGTAGCATCATTATTATCAACAGCCTGTTAGGTCCTTCAGGACGGAGACCTCTTTCATTGACTTACACCCGCTCCTGTCCTTCACTGCCAGAGTCCATTCCATTCATTGCCTCTGAATTTTCATATTTCGTGTATCCATCAAGTTAATGACGTAGCAAATTAAAAAGAAATGATAAAAATCCATGTAAATTGATGAAATAATGTTTATTTACAAGTAAGTGATGAAAGAATTTGCACAAGAAATATTAGGGTAAAAAAAAGGCTGAATAATGGCAAATCGAGACATTTACACATTGATATGCACCATTACTTGGAAGGAGTCTTTAAACAATAACAAAACGACAAGCAATGCTCGGGCTCCGCTGGAACGTCATCCTGTGTGAAGTCGCAGTCCTCCCCTGAATCACCAATAGCAGCCCGTGGAAATTCAGTACAGTCAGTCTCGAGAGCACTTCGGCTCTTTTTCTTTGCGGCTGCATGGTCATTTTCGCACATCTCCCTTTTAGCTCTCGGTTTTGGCATCTTCTTCGTGAGGTACTGCGGCAAATTTGGAAGAATCGTGGGGATGGATTTTTCCGACAGCATCGGTTTATCACGAGGAATGCGTACCTCTTTGCCATCTATATGGTGCACGAACTCCTTGATAACGAACCTCGGTTAGAAATGCAGTTCGCAGACCGTAGAAAACTCATCCAGTTTCTTATCTGCACGGTGGAGATTTCTTTCCCACTCCTTCCGCCGTTCTTCATCACGCGGGACGCTGAACAAAGACGCCTGTGGTGCATCCTGCACACGACTGTACCCGGTTCGACAACCGGGCGCAAAACAGTAATTTCGACGGCGGTTAGGCATCTTCACGAACACATACTACACAATGATCCAAGCATAAAGCACAGAACACGCACACGGGGTACCCAGGTTGATCCAATCGAACCGATCGAACTGAACTGAGCGAACCAGCCCCGTCCGCCAACACGGCCAACACGAACCAAGAGAAGTTTTTCAGGTGCGTCAAGCGTCAGCGCCCCTGGTGGGCATCGTGGAAGTCGACACAGAGTGCGCTACGGCGGAGCGCC